AAAGCAGCTGGTTTGCAGGGCATCACCAAATTCCTCTTTTTGCTGCGCCTTGAGGCTGTGGTTCGAGGCAGAAGAAAGTCCCTGTGGGCTGTAGTGGCCACCACTTCTGTGTAGTGCAGGACAGACTTCAGACAAGGGGCAGGATGGAGGGAGGGTGGCTTTGAAGCATCAGCTGAGCATCTGCCTTTGACTCCACCATAAACCTTCTTCATCTCCAAGGTCATATAACTCCTGGCAGAAAGGTGGTGGATGCCTGATCCCTGGAAACAGTCAAGGCCAGGTTGGACAGGGCTCTGAACTGCCTGATCTAGTTGAAGATGTCCTTGGCCATTGCAGGGATTTGGACTAGATGACCTTTAAAGGTCACTTCCAACCTAAACCATTCTATGATTCCACAATTCTATGATTCTAAGTCAACACCATCCAACCTGGATAGGTGGGAAACTTCACTTTGACCCCTTAAATGCACTTTTCACTCCTTTTATCTTCAAAGAGAGCTTAAAAATGCAAAGGTATTATTTTTGTTTGCCACAGTGCCAGTGTTTGAACACCTACTATTTGCCCCAGAGAGCTCCCCAACCTCTCTCTGCAGCAATAAGCACCTTCCTGGAATCTTTCCACAGCCTGAAAGAGTTGTGCCCTGGGATTTATTTAACCTCCTGCAGTTGCTTGTTGTGCCCCATGGAACAATGGGCTCCGCTTTGCGAGCAGGGCTGGCTTGGCTAAATTGGCTTGTTCTGCGATGCTCACAGGCACATCTGTTAGCAGCAGCTGGCTGCCAGCCCAGCCTCCCTCTTTTAATATCTCTTTGGGGTTTTACTGGTAGTGTCTCTGGACAGTAGGAGGGAAAGAAAGAAGCGACAAACCCCCAGAGTGCCACCAGCGAATCCCAATAAAAGGCGAGCGGGAAAGCGCCTGTTTGACGAGCAGCGCTGCCCGGTTTCGGTGGCCATCCAGCTGCTTGTTATAATAGCAGGGGAGTGGCTGGGTCACTTGATGATTTATTCCAGCCCCTTGTCCTGGTTGGGAGGAGGCATAAAAGATGCTTTGTTTCCACGAACAGGAGATGGGGAGCACTCCAGCCTCCAAATCTCCCACTTGCCAGCGGAGCCTGATGCACTCCCCCATGTGGGATCCATTTGAGCCTGAAAACTTGACAAGGAATGTCATAGCAACACCAGGATGTTTCCCCATCCAGCACAGCAGCGGCAGCTTATTTGTTCAGCTCTCAGCTGCTGTGCACAATCAATGCAACGTGTAGCGTGCGATGGGCTTCAAGACGTGTGGGGAAACTCCGGCTGTGTGGAAAGGATGGGCTGCCCGCAGGGAGTGCTTTTTGAGCCACACTCAGCATTGTTTGAGCTTCCAGGCGTCTCTTCCAGGCTCTTACAAGCCCTTATCCCTCCCAAGCACTTGTAAAACTTTCAAGCCCAGCCATTTCCACCCTTCTGGGGCTGCTGCCGTGTTCAGTGTGACTGCTCCAACCCACACTCAGCAGCCTCTTTAGGTTCCTACCTTCTTAACAGACTGTATTTAGGATCCGAAAGGTGACCGACACACCTGTGATTATCTGTTGCTTTATTCTACATTTGAAAGTTCCTTCTCTTTATGGCTGCAAACAGAAGCTGAGGAGCACAGAGAGACACAACTGCTGCCTTTGGAGCAGTAGTTTTGAGGAGCAGCAGCTGCTGCCTTCGCCCAAATCTGCAGCTGCCCCAGAGGAAGCAGACAGGTTCATCTTTGGAGAAGGGCTTATACAGGGCCTTATATTAAACTGCAGCAAAAAAAGTCCATCTTAATATTCTCTCTCTTTCTCTTATAAAATATAGACCCAATCCTACTTCCCACCAAATTTCCTTACTGAAAGCCTCACAGGCCCTGGTCACTGAGCACCCTGGTCCTCATCAAACCTTCTTAAATCCACCACCGAAAAGCCAGAAGCATCTTTTTGAGCTGACAGAAAATAACATAAATTTCTAGTGCAACTTGTTGCTTAGGTCTCCTGCGAGTTTTACAAGAACCAAACCACCTCCAGGAACCATTCACATAGGAGTAAACCTTCTCAGCACACCTGTGCTGTGGCACCGGCAATCGCAGAGCAGTCAGGGCTTCTTAAGCCTATGTAGTTATCACAAATTTAGTTAAAATGAGTTAGTCTGCATGTAGGGCATCTATCAGGAGAAAGTCAAAGTGTTTGTGGGTCTGTTAGAGGACTTGCACTGGTAGCAGTCTCCTTTATTTTAAATAAATGAGTGCAAATAATTTAAATAATTTTAGAGGCACCAAGTTTAATGGAAAGGCAGATCTGTCTATCAGGACCTGACTTGGGTTTTGCTTTCAGTGTCACTGCTACATTCTGAGGAGACATGGGTTATGGTATGAGATGACTCTGAAATATGAGATTACCACAAGGAAGTAATACATCATTATTTAAAAACATTTCTGCACAGTCCTTTGTGACCTCTGGACATTGATATTGTTCTCTCTGATCTGCAAATTACTTCATGAGGGCATTTTCTGCAATTACTGAGGATACTGGGTATTGCTACTCATTCTTCCCAAATGGAAAAGCCCAGGCAGGTCAAAAGGCCTTCCCAAGTCATGTAGATGAAGAGTTCAGAATTGAATTTCACTTTCTGGACTTAGGGAGAAATCCCTCAAAAAATAAATATATATCGAAAGACTCAAGTGATATGATTAGAAGCCTGATCTTTTCCCGTGACCATTCTTCCACTTGTCTCTGTTCTGCTGAAAGTCACTGCAATGTTTCTGTTATCTGCTGAAAGAAGCTTTTCTCCTGGCAGAAGAGAAAGTACTTTTTGTGTCACGTTGCAGCCCCCAAGGGAACAGGCAAGAGAACAGTTTGGTGAGTGAAAAGCTCTGCTGAGAAATGAATCAGTCCATGCTGGATAAAGCAACACTGACCTTCAGTGACTAAATTTTGTCATGTCATGCTCTTTTCTCTTGGGATGTCATTTGGGATGCCAGGTTGGATGAGGCTCTGAGCAACCTGTTCTAGTGGAAGTTGCCTGTTCCATGGTAAGGGGCTTGGAACTAGAGCTTTAAGGTCCCCTCCAACCCAAATCATCCTATGATTCTGTGATTTGTAAGCCTGGCCAGAGCCAAGGGACATCTGAATCCTTCCTCCATCCCCAGTTGCAGGACAGTACCAGACACTGAACAACAACAGGACCACCCAAAAGGATCTCAGCCTTTCAGGATTTTGCTTTCTAGTGGAAAAGGAACAGCTGTATTCCCATAGTTTCGGGGTCACCTGCCATCACAGATGGTCCCAGCACCACTTGCATTTGAAAGGGGCATCACTCCTCAGTGTGACTTCCTGAGTTGCTGTTTGTTAATTCTCTGCTGATGCTGCTCTTGGTCACAACCTCTGACACTGTCACTGAGACTCTTTGCCCTAACAATGGTTTTGGCACTCCCTACACCTGGAGAGGGCCAAGCCCAGGCTGACCGTGCCCACCTAGGTCAACCTGCAACTCCCCTCCCCACGGATATTTCCACCTCTGAGAATCTTCCACCCTCTGACTAGTAGTGACTCAAGTGACCTTTAATGACAAAGGAAAAAAATCCCCAACATTTAGAACACTTTTTAATTGTTGCTGTTTCCTTTAGTGTTTGTGTGTTCTTAAACTCCCAGCTTGTGCAGACCAAGGATGCTGTGTGGCTTCCTGGAATGTGCTGAGCTCCCTGGAAGCACTGCCATTAACAACTAACAAGTGTCAAGATAAACTCCATAATCACCGATTGTAGCATCCAGACCTGAAAACTCCCTGCACTGCTTTACCTTTAAGCAAAGCCACGGAATCACTGGATTGACACATTTTTTTTAGGGCCAGAAGGCAATATCAGATTTTGAAACTCAATCTGCAGGACAGATTTCAGGCAGAAAGCATCTAATACCCACAGCAGACTTGCAGGGAAGCTGTGGAGCTCAGGGCTCGAGTGTGGGTACAACAGCCCCAATGTGTTCCTGTGAGCTGCCAGTGTTCAGCCATGAGCTGATCACCATCATAAGGTGACCTTGTAATCCTGGTCACCTGCTGGCCCAATTAAATTATGGACATCTGCAAAATATAAGCCGTGAGACTCCCCATGTCCCTGTGGTACACCAGTTGTGTTTTAAAATGACTCCAAAGCAGTTCTAAGTGAAAATAAGCCACCCCACACAAGAGCTAACGAAGGCAGGGTGCAGAGCTGGAAAAGAACTGGAAAAAATTAACTTCTGGTATATATTTCCTATGGTTCCTTTCAGTTGACTCACTGCAATGCTTAAAACACTTCCTCGCCCTGTGAATCTGCTGTGGTATATTTAACACATTACTGGTATAAAATGATTTAAGCACGAGTTTCTTTTATCAGCAAAGTCCAAACTACTTCCCTCCCTCTAAAGCATGGATGGAGCTGAACCAAAACCACAGATCTGATCACTCTCTGAACATTTGGGCAAGTTTGGATCTTCAGCCTAGCATCATGTACAGTCCTAATTTGCTAATAGGCCCACACCTAAGTCCCAAATCTAAACGTTGGATGTGGCGTTTGTTCCTTATAACAAAAGTGATCCAAAAATTCATTTCTAGGAGACTTAGACTATGAGGCAGTTTGGTTCTAACAAAAAAGCAATCACTCATGACCTCTCTCTAAACAAAACAGATCACAGAAACTGGAATTTTACCCCTCTTGTGTTTGGACAGAGATTTCATTTTGTTCCAAATTTCTCCTGGCAAACACCATGGTTTGGGGCAAACCAGTGAAATTTTACAAGGTGAGGAAATTATATATGTCTTTGGGGATTTGTCCTAAAAGGATTTGGGATTTTTTTTTTTTTTTTTTAAATAAAGGAAATTGTACCAGGGTTTGGTTGGTTGGTTGGCTTTTTTTTTTTTTTCCTGACAGGTACAACCATTGTCTACTAATTTTGAATCAGCTCGGTGAGAAACAATGGACAGAGATGAGCAGTCATAGGACAATTTGTTCTTTACCTTGGTCACATCAGGAATAGCCAGTTCCTTGGACAGACCTCCCTGGTGGTGTCCTCTGTCATGCTGTCAGAGTGATCCTCATCAGGCTTCCATGTCTCTCACAGGCTGCTCCTAAGGATGGTGCAGGAACAAGCACACTCCTGGGACCACTTCCAGGAGACGACTGGATGCAGTTTTAGAGGATAACAGAGTTTAATAAGGTGAAAGTAACCAGACTGTCAGTCTCCAAGCACAAGAATCACTCCTGGCAATGTTTGCTTTATTAATACAGATGCAGCCATTGAGGTCAATTAGACAAACTGGAGAGACAGGCACATTTAAATACTCAGAGAGAGGAAGGCAGGAAGAAGATAAAAGTCTGGACTATAAGTCCTCTGATTTTTCCCTGCACAGGAATAACACAGCAGCAGCACTTCATGCTATATCACTAACCCAAAATCACAATGCTGAGAAAGATGTTGAGCTTTCCCTCTGAGAACATCTTCAGCCTTCCTGACCCAGTCACTGACTCTTTTCACCAATGCTGTCAGTAAGACTCATCCAATCCTCTGGAAACCACTAAATTCTCAAGTGGAGTAAGTCAAACACTGCCACAGGGTCTGGCAAAAAGGGCACAGATTCTTTCTGTGTCTACTGTGCTTTGTCATGATCATAGAGTTATAGAGTCATAGGGCCATAGAATCATAGAATCATGGAATGGTTTGGGTTGGAAGGGACCTTAAAGATCATCTAGTTCCAACACCCTGCCATGGGCAGGGACACCTTTCATTAGACCACGTTCACAGTAAAGAATTTCTCCCTAACATTTAACCTAAATCCCTCCTCTATTAGTTTAATGCCATTCCCCCTTGTCCTACACTCTCTGTGTAAAAGTGAGTCATTTTGCACTGACTCACCAAACTCTGAGCTGCCCAAGGACAAGGACGTACAGCTGAGAGGGTAATATTTTAAACCTCCTTGCACAGCTCACCAGTAGCCTTGTAAGAATCCCAGCCTTGTGAGTTAAAGCTCAGAGAAACTTCTCACATCAGAAGACCTACAGCATGTGTTTGCAGTACTTGGAACCACTGTGGGTTTCCAACAGGTTCCACAAAAGCCAGAAAGCAGCTTTTTTACCATGACAAGTTATTTTTCTGCATCTATTAAGCAGAAATAGATACAAATAACCTAAACTGTGTCTGGAAATCATGATTTTGTAGACCATGTGGCTTCAAGCCTATAGGAGATATGTGCACCCAGAGCCCACTTGAAGAGAATGCTCAGCTGATGATGGTGGATCAGCTCTCTTTGGATCCTCTGGGCTGAAGCCAGACCTCAGATAGGTACCTTGAACCAGTTTCAGAGTTCCTCCTCACCTACTCCCTCTCAGATCTGTATGACTGAGGAAAAACAGGGAAGAGACTTTAAAAACAATCCCAATAAGACAGCAAAACTGTATTTCAGGTTCCTCAGCGTACTCTTGGTGTTAAATTCTTCCATGTCAATAGAATGTCACCAGCCTCCCCAGGGCCCAAACAAACAGAGGCATCTCACTGTGTGAAGGTCACCAAGGCATTGCTGCCAACATTTTTTGTCGGATTTTTTGGTTGTTCCTTTTTTTTCACTCCAAGTTTCCCTCTAGTTTCAGACTGCTTTCATCTCCCTCCGTCTCTTGAGCACTGTCTCACTGTGCATCTGTTTTCCCTTTGCATATTCTCCCTTCCCCCTCTGTTTACTTTTATAAGCAGACTGTTGTTTTTATTCAATTCCCCTTGGTTTTCTTCGAGTTTTCCAGTTCTTCTACTCTTCTCTGCAGCTCTCTCATTCTCTCCCCTTACCTTCCAACCTGGAGTGCTGCTGGGGCCCTGTTTCCAATTACATCTGTTTTGCCTTGTTTACTGGAGTTTTCTTCTCCTCTATGTTGTACAGGAGCCACCTTTTTTTTTTTTTTTTTTTTTTTTGGTTTTCTTTCCCCCTTGCTGATCAGAAGCCAGGACACCACTTCTTCTTCCCTGTTGTTGGTTTTACTTATTTACGTATTTTTCTTTCCCCAAGAAATAGAGTAGATGGCTGTTTAAAAAATGTTTACACTCCCATTATAGCAACTGCTGTGGAAATTGCTTTCATGCATATTAAATTGCAGCAAAAAAAGTCCATTTTAATATTCTCTCTCTTTCTCTTTTACCTCAAAGCACCTTATGAAATATGGACCCAGTCCTACTTCCCACCAAATTTCCTTACTGAAAGCCTCACAGGCCCTGGTCACTGAGCCCCTGGTCCTCATCAAACCTTCTTAAATCCACCACTGAAAAGTCAGAAGCATCTTTTTGAGCTGACAGAAAATAACTCCAATTTCCAGTGCAACTTGTTGCTTAGGTCTCCTGTGAGTTTTACCCGAAGCAAACCACCTCCAGGAACCATTCAGATGGGAGTAAACCTGCCTGTCCTGGCAGGAAAATGATCTGAGGGGAGAAGTTCTCACTGGAGCTGGTTCATAATCACTGTTACCTTGTCCTGGCTAGTACAGCAGGGAAAAGTGATCATCACAAGGGAAGGTAAATTTCATTAGCAAGAAAAAAAAAAAGAGCTCAGAAAACAACGTGGGTTTCATCTGCTCATTTCCTTTTATTTTTAAGAAAAAGCAAACAAAATAAAAATTAGTCTCTGCACTTGGCAGTCTTCTCTACCCTCTGAGCCTAAGGGCTCTTTTCAACCTCTGGGGAAAAAAGTGGGGCTTACCAAGATGCATAAGGGTAACAGAATCAAATTCTACAGTAATAAAATTTGGGAGGAAAATTATCCACCAGCTTTGAGAATTCCAGCAGTGCTCAAAGCCGTAAATGTTTGGCAACACAAGGCATTCAAGAAATCTGAACGGGTTATGCTGGGTTGGGTCCCTTTGAAAGCTTTCCTTGTCCCTCCCCTTTGTTATGTTCTTTTCATGCTTGATTCTTATGAGCAGAAGTGGTTAACACAGGAGTTTATGAAATAAGAAACTTGGCTTCCATTCCTGGCTCTTGCATTCACTTTCTGCCTAGTCTTGGAAAAGTCACTTAAAACTAGATCTGTAGGCAGACTCAGGCTGTTCCAGGCATCAGGCACTCAGGATCTCTGTAAGCAGATTGAATGAATACGACTACCCCAAAGCAGAAAGCAGAGCTTAAAAATACCTGGGGACACCTGTGGAAAATAGGAGGATGGGCAAGACTCAGAGCTTCTAGGTTCCTGGTTCTGGATAAAGGAAGACATAGTGTTCAAAAGCTGTTAGTGGTCATCGTGGTGTTCGGTCGAAGGTTGGGTTTGATGACCTTAGAGGTCTTTTCTAACCTCAATGATTCTGTGATTCTATGATTCTCTGCCCATCTGGGAGTCTAGCTGAGTTTTAAGCTCTGAATCTTCTTTACACTGGGCATCTAAGTCACATTTGCTCAATTTTATGGAAACTGGCAGGAGGATAAATTGTTTTTTTGACAGTGAAAGAGGAACATGGGGAGTTGCTTTTTTTCTCAGATATTCCTTACACTTGTTTGAGGCAGAACTTTAACCCACAACCTGACTTTGGAGCAGTTTTCTGAGCATCTCTTTGGTGGGGTAGGCAAACAAGAAGGAAAGTAGCCCAGTCACTGCTCTGTGGGATATGATGGGACACACTTGGCAACATTGGAAAGTTCCATTACTACCTCTGGTTGGTGCAAAGCCAAGTATAACAACAGTGCCCAGTGTAATAACTGTACTCAAAGAATGACATACCCTGAAGCAGGTCCTAGAGGAAGGACCACAGAGCAGACAGGCAGCCTGGGAGCTCTGCTTTGCCCCTGGTGTGACACAGGGGTCTGAGCAGGAGGACAGTTCCAAGGCTGGTGTAGTTTCTCTGGTGGAGACTCAAGGCTCGTGGGGCTTTGCCAGCAGTAATGTGACTGTGCATAGCCCTCAGCCACAGGAATTTGAAGGATCCCTGTAAAATACCGTGCTGGAAGTAGCACTTAGGTCCATTTGTAGCTTTAGCTCAGAAGCCTGATTCTGTGATCTGTCTGCACCCCTGAGTGCTGGATTGCTTTATGAGAGAAGTGAATATTCATACAATCCAGTTGTGTTGAGGAGGTGAGCTGGAGTCAGCCAATTGTGTAGCACGTGTGTGCTTAAATATTTCCTTAGAAGTTTGCTTTGGAAAGCCAAAAACACCAGCACAATGTTAATAAATATTCCTATCAAATGTTTATGATGCCAAAGCCATAATATAAATCAATATGCTTAGATTTGAGTATGATAAATGTACCTTAAAACAAATGAGTTGAAAATCATTTCCTTATTCCCTTACCTGCCAATTTTTCTGTGGAAACACCTTTGTTTCCCAGCTACTCCTGATAACATCACAGCCACCTAAAACAGCTCTTGGAGCAGACCTCAGAAGCAATCCAAACCTCATGGATCATGTAGACACACGTGCACAGTGAGAATGGGACACAACAAAATGCTCACTAATAGGAACTGGGTTTGTTTATAACAAGTAAGGGAACAGGGACTTGTGCAATCCACTGGTTGGTGACAACCCCAAAATCCTGCCAACAAGTAGTGCACAAGCTTGTTTATTCTGCTTGATCCCCTACAATGGGATGAGGATAGAAAAAAAAAGGAAGAAGCAAGTGTTTTCTGGTGACTGGTAGAACAATTAAAGGCTTCAGGCACAATAAAATGGTGCTTTGTCTCAACATTAAGGGCCAGGGTTGGGGCCTGGTGTTTGCTTTGCCATTTTCTTACACGTTTAGGTTTTGCTTCTGGTTACAGACCCATGGCTACATGGCATCCACAGCCAAAACTGCTCCCAAGGTCAAGCCTGGCATCTACCAGGGTGGCAGTGGCGATCAAGGAGAAGAAACCAACTACAGACATCTGTTTTGTGAGGAAACCTCCTACAACTGTGTTTTTGGAGTCCACACCCCAATCCTGTCGCATAATGCCAATGGTGGGGTTTCTTCCAGTCGGTCTTGTCATATGATCTTTGATTGCTTGGACCAGAGAGCTGTTCCTTCCTGTCTGAAAGGAGCCATCCCACAGCTAGACTAGAATGAATCCTGCTTTTCCAGGATGAGAAGCAGATGGGGTTTATGTCCTAAAGTTTTGATGGCTTTTCTTTGTTTTAAAAACATCCGAAGGGCAGATATTTTGCTTACTGTGTATTTTAGC